TGGTTTTGTTCCTAGGGTTTAGTATAACTCGCTAGATTAGTATCTCATTTTGTGTAAATCTTTGGTTACGGATCAATGAATTCAGTGAAAATATACATGCTGATGAACGTCAGAGTTTTTAGAAACACAATATATAGTTTCTATGAGTGGCATCAGATTTGTATGCATCAGCAAATCTCTTTAATGTTTTTGTTAGCAAAGCTCTATTAGTGTAGAAAACAAGAAATTATCACAAACAATAAAGTTCAACATGTATCAATCCAATAGGCAAACATCAAATACACAAGATAAGAAAAACAAAACAAGCATTAAAATACACAAGATAAGAAAAACAATACATATATGGTAGTCACTATACTAATAACACATTTTGTGATCATCTTAGGTTTTATTTAACCCTCTGATCCCTGTCCAAAAGAACCTTAACAACCTTCTCAAAATTCACAACCGAGGAACCACTCTCATGCTCAGTAGCTGCCTCTGCTAAACGCCGCCACTCATCGGCCTTCTCTCTCATTTTCTTCCCCTTTTCACCATCCATCAACTCTCTAATCACCTTCTCAATCTCCTCCCTCCTCACATCTCCCCCAATCTCCATCCCCACTCCCCACTCATCACAACAGTACTTACAATTCGTTTGCTGGTCGGCAAAGAACGGCCAACATATCATTGGTACACCGCCACATAGACTCTCTACCATCGAGTTCCACCCGCAATGCGTCAAGAAACCTCCTATTGCCTGGTGGTTAATAACTTTCTCTTGAGGACACCAACCCACCAACATCCTCCGGTCTGCCGTCTCCGTCAAAAACTCCGGCGGAACTATGGCCTCCTCTCCAGCTACTAAATCCGGCCGTATCACCCATAAAAACTCCTTACCACTTCTCGCCAACCCCCAAGCGAACTCAGCGAGCTGCTTCGCAGTTATAACCGTAATACTCCCAAAGTTAACATAAATAACGCTGTTTGGAGCCTTAGTATCGAGCCAATCCAAACATTCCATCTCCTCTTTCCATAAGTTCGATCCCATCTTCCCAAGTTCACTGCCTTCTTCAGTCTCCCGGTTAGCTAAGAGATGAAGCGGTCCAACTGGATAAACCGGAGGTAAAATTGAATTCATTGACTGGATGATATCATGGTCGAGATCATCAAATGTGTTGAGAATGATAGCAGAAGCGCGTTTGGATCGCTCTGTCTCGCGTAGGGCAAAGTTAAGCATAATATCATCAGGATTGGTGGTACGGATGAAGCTAGGAATGTCCTTGAATTTTAGATTTTTCATTGACGGTATAAAATCTATCACCGTGTCTAAGTACTCGTTCGTCAAGTAATCCTCAGCTGCCAAATTCAGCATCATTAACTAGTTAGATTAGTTTCTCGGTATTAGTTACTAATCATAATCATGCACGTCTTTATGACTCAATATAGGACAGGATATTGGTAGTGTCATTTCATAGTCAGATATAGTTGTGAATTTGACTGATATACAAAGTGACATGGCCAATGATTTTGTGGATTTCGCAGATAGTAAAAATATATTCAAAATAGAAAATATATGTGTGAAAGACCCATTATCCGCATGTCATCTGCCTAATTATTTAAAGAGAAAAAAATAATTACATAACTAAATTTTTGAAAGAGTTTTTATTAGACCAGAGAAAGGAATATTTTTTTTAGCTCTTGTGAAACTAATTTTTTGGTTAAATATAATATTATAAATCAATTGAATGCAGGGGCGAAGCTCTAGAGGGTTTACTGTGTGCATATGCACCCATTGCTTTTTGCATTTTCAAAAATTTCTAAGGCAAAATAACATAAATTTAGCTAGATATTTATGAAAACCCCCTTTTGTGCGCGCTCACCCAGTATCTGATGTTCATTAGTTTATGCCCCAATCAAATTAACCCTCTAGTTGCAAACAAAAAACTTTTATAAATTTTTTTTAATACCGTCAACAAAATACTAAACCCTAAATCCTAAACTCTAAATCTTTGGGAATCCTCAACCTTTAGTTTAATCTTAAACCTTAGGATTTATGATTAATTCAAAGATTTAGAGTTTATCCAAAGATTTAGAGTTTAGAGGATTAGTGTTTTACTGATAGTATTAAAAATATTTTTTAAAATATTTATGAAAACTCCCTTTTGTGCGCGCACACCCAGCATCTGATTTTCATTAGTTGATGCCCCAATCAAATTAACTTCTAGATTCGCCCATGATTGAATGATTAATTAATGTATACGTACGTACCTTTTATAGGAGCCAAACCCTTTTCAATGAAGAGATAGAAGTGTAGATAAGCCATGAAGGAGGAAGCACTAGTGGTCCAAAACAGGACTTCCGGGACTCCAAGCTCCTCAGCAGCATCAAGAGTAAAACTCATACAACCGTCAGATACAATACAGCTCACCGGAGGAACATCATTTTCGGCGTTAATCCGCTTGAGAAGCTCCTTGAATGGAGTAAGACAGTTCTTCATGGTGGAATCACAAAGGGCAGTTATGTCCTGCGTGACGTCCACGTCTGTCTCCGGTAGACCGTCAGGGATTGACTCAAACCGGAAAGAAGGGAGCCCCTCGACAGCATGGGGCCCACGGGAGCGAAGGAGACGGTTGTGATTGTAGACAGTGTTGACGAAAGTGACGTGAAAACCTCTGGCGTGGAGGAGTTTAGCCACTTTCAGCATGGGATTGATGTGGCCTTGAGCCGGATAAGGCACGCAAACTACGTGCGGTTTTTCACCTTTGGAAACGACATGAGATGCCATTTTCTTTCTCTACTCCGCAAAGACAAATGTCGATTTTTTTTGGTAATGGGTAAATGTGATTTCGTTGGCCATTTTATAGAGTTGGAAAAGTCGAGACTATGTATTTCTAGCACGTATTGGCCGTCGAAAAATCTACCTCGCGTGTGAATGTTATCCACAGCTGCCATAAGATAATGCTATCTACAAGCTGAACGTGTTGCAGAAAAAATTAAGTCGGACTTGCTACGAGTGGGACCTCAAATCTTCTAGGGATTGGTGACTTTTCTGGGGGTTTGGTTTTGTTATAAACATTATATATTGAAACGTAAAAAGGTTAAATTTAATATATTTTTTGTTATAAAAAATTTTATATAGAAATGATCACATAAATAAGATCTGTTTTAAATTGGATCTTTAACATAAAAACCCCTCAACTAAGTTTGTTTTGGGTAAAAACCCCTAAACTAAGTATTTAATGAAAAAACCCCTAAACTAACTTTATTTAGTGAATTAAATCCTCGTCGGTCATAATTACATGTACTACCGGTAAATCTTCAATTTAGAGGTATTATCATTAAACATAAAAATCAATAAAATTTAAAATATAATAACATTATCTAAAAATTCGTAATTTTAATTTTCAAAACTTGCATTTTAAAAAAACATTATGTAACTATATGAGTCTGATTTGTTATCCTTTTAAAATCAAAATTATATATGTATAAATTTAAAATGTAAAAACCAAGAAAATATAACAAAAATTATCTAAAGATTTATCTGTAATAAAAATTATCAAAAGTTATAAATATAAAAACAAGAAAACAGAATAAAAATTATATTATATTTAATAAAAATGTAATAATAAATCTTTAGATGATTTTTATTATATTTTGGTGTTTTAAAATTTTAATCTCTATATATATATATATAATGTTGATGTTAAAACAAATCAAACTCATATATTTACAGAAAGTTTGAAAAATGCTAATTTTCAAAATTTAAGTTACTAATTTTTAGATAATGTTATAATTTTTTTTTTAGATAATGTTAAGGATAAAACCGTTCAACTATCTTTAATATGGGGGTTTACTTGTTAGTTTTGGGGGTTTTACCCAAAAAAACTTAGTTAAGGTATTTTAGAGTTAAAAATTCATATTACAAGGATAAGAAATCACGCATATATTTACATAAAATTTTTAAAATGCTAGTTTTGAAAATTAAAATTACGAATTTTTAGATAATGCTATTATATTTTGATTTTTTTATTTTTTTTATATTTTATGTTTAATGATAAAACCCCTAAACTAAAGATTTACCGGTAGCACTGGAAATTATGACCGGCGAGGGTTTAATTCACTAAATAAAGTTAGTTTGGAGGTTTTTTCATTAAATACTTAGTTTAGGGGTTTTTACCCAAAACAAACTTAGTTGAGGGGTTTTTATGTTAAAAATCCTTTTAAATTTTATTTGTAGGTTAGTTCAAGTTTGTATCAAAGATATATCCGATATATGCAAATTATATGCTTATGTTTAAAAAAAAATATATATATATGCTTATGTTTTTTAACTGGGTTTATTGTACCACTCTATTTGCTGTACATACTAAAAACGGACTTGAAATATGATATAATTGACGTATTATATCGACATGATTCAGCGCATTCTTCTATTTTCCATAATCTCTATCACACCATACACAACTCACGAATTAATATATTTTGCACTAATTCGAAATATAAATCTCAGTAGATACAAATATCAGTAGCAATGCAGCGTCAAAAGTGTCGGTTTTCTATTTAATTCGTATACAACTTGTTACCCAAAAAAATCGTATACAACTGTTTTGGGACAGTGTAATCATAATGCGTATTTATGTTACTGACCAAACATTATGTTCCAAATATATATACAAATTCTGAAGTTGAGTCGTGCTCAAAATCTGCATCCGTACTCTATACTACTAGATGACTTTTGAGTTTTGTGATTATAAATTTATGAGTGGCAAACCAAACTTTAGATTTCAGTTAGTTAAAAACGATACCTGTCTTCATGGCAAGTTTGAAACGTGCCTATATCTATTTTTTTCTTTTACGGTAAGTTTTCAGATAACATGTATCTCTCTTTTTGTTTTCGTTTTATATGAAAGACAAAAAAAAAAAGCATTTTGAAGACGTGAATGATTAATGAGGTAATATTGTCTCGAACAAAGCTTTATCTTTCTCAAAAGAAAACAAAGCTTTCACAAACTTGTTGATTGAGTTACGAGAGACTGGACCACTTGCCTTCGATTTCACTTAGATTTTTGCCCCTTCAAGATGGGTATAGGTTTGGTCATTTCCATTAGATATATCATTGAACTTATTAGTTATAACCCAAAGTGGACCACTTGCCGCCTTCATTTTCATTTTGATTTTTTACGGATACCTTACGCTTACGGATAGCTTTCTTGATGGTATTGTATCTTTTTTCTTTTTGTCACTATTAGGATTTTTGTCTTTGAGCAACCGGGGAAATCAAATTCTTCTTTTTTTGTTACTCAAAGGTTTGCCATTTCTTGTACGTCGGTCAAAATGTCTGTCTTTGTTTTTAGCCTTCTTTTCTCAAAGATTTGCCATTAGTTTTAAAGTATTTAAACTAATGTTTTCACATACGACCTAGATCTGCAACTGCAACTGAACCATTAAATTAAGTGATCTGTATTTAATTTAGTTCAAATTTAGTGAAAAGCTTGTTAATCAAAGTGTCGAACCCACACCATTCGCGATCCAGCATCGACCCAATCAATTGATCTGATAAAACCCTAAAATATAATAATATTTTCTTTGGATGATTAAACCTGCTTCTGATGTATGTTTAATCATAATAATACTAGCTAAATTTTTGATTTGTGATTTAAATATTGAAAACATTATGCCACCTAAATAAACTAGTAATATACACAATCATAACATAACCATTATGGTTAGTTGGCATAATAAGTTGATATAATCATAACACAAAGTTTTAAATTTGATTTGTTCTTTATTTTAAGACTTACATTTAAAATATACATACTTATTATTTATTTTTAAATTTTATTTTTAGTCATAGTTTGTTATAAAAATAAGTCAAACATTTTGTCCTTCTGAAATTATGTATGTTAAACAAAAAAATAAATTTAATTGAAATTTTAATATTAGTTATCTTTTGTAAATGAAAAGGTGATGTTTATTTTGTCTTATGTATATAAATATATATATATATATATATATATATATATATATATATATATATATATATCTATTCATATATTTAAAAATATTAATGTTGGACTCATTGTTAAAGCAACAGTCAGATCAATGATCTAGTGACTCTGGAAAGTAGTCCAATTTTGCAATTTTCAACATTATTATATTCAACTAAATGTAATAATAACACTAGAAAATATTTAAAAGTACTTAATTCAATATTTTTTAAACGGAATTTTCAAATGTTGAGATATATATATATATATATATATAAATATATATTATATCTTTAGTTTTTCATGTTTGAACTTTTATATAATTATATACTGAAATGTTATTTGTCTTTTCAGATGTTATTCAAGTTTCTCATTTCTAGAAATCCCAAAAAGACAAAGCCTAAATACATTTTGTGAAAGATGAACAAAATTTGAATACAGTCTCTTTTAACAAAAAAAAGCTAATACAATCTCTAACCAAGTTGATGCATGGCTTTTGACTTTACACTCTGAATTGCGTCTTCTTAACTCGAACTGTCCGTCGGATTCACGTCTGACTGTATCATCCTGAGTCACCCTATGAGATCCATTCCTGACGGTACGACTTGCGCCATGCTGAAGATCTCCTGTAAGCGTTCTCCAATCTGCATAATTCGCCATTCACCTTCTTCGGGAATTGAAACCCTCCTGGTGTAAGAACTGCGTAGCCTGAGATTCGAACCACAGACCTGATGTAGAAGCCTTTAAACCTTAACCACTAGGCTACGGTGCTTCCACAAACAGAATTAATTATGGTGACTATATGTAATTGGTGTCTAATATAGTACTGAAGCCGACCAACCTCAAACATCAGAGTCAGGAATTTCTTCGTGTATATTAGGATTGGAAGGATTCAAATATTTAAAAATTTAAGATATCTAAATGTAAATCAAGATCCGTTGAATATATGTTATAAATATTCATATAAACGCATGTTTTTCTGGATATCCAGATTTCATATATTTATCAGAAACTAAACTCACCTATTGTTGCATATCTAGAAATATCGTAAATTTCCATGCACCAGTAAAAGTTTACTATTCATTGATCTTTTTTTTTTTTTTCTTAAAACCGAGCATTCATTCGGTACATCTTTTAGGATTAGAAAATTTAGTTTTTCTAGGATAAGTATGTATTTTAAAGGGAAAATAAAATTGAGTTTTTAAATTGCTATAAATATAGATTAAGAATTGTAAAAATATTTATTTACATAATAATATACAAATCCTAAATAGGTAGTTATCTAAATAGGTATTTTTTTTAGCTCTGAAAATCATATAATATCAGACTACTATTTGATAAATTGTAGTTCGATCATGAGTTATTGAAGACTAGAAGCTAATATTGGATACCTATTTATCTTCAAAGTCTCGTGTACTGACCTTACTTTAAATAGATTTATATGTAAAAAATAAGCATTGTGTATATAAAATTTTAACTATTCAATTCTAAATTATATTTTAGCTCTGAAATTTTTATAATATCTGAATCAGAGTTTGGAATCAGCAAATCCTGATTTGGAAGCACCATATCCATATTTGGATTGACAGATGCATAAGTTTGCATGTGATGTTATGATCGAGTATTTTAGAAAGTTTACAAAACAATTAAGCAGAGGTTACACTTAGAGCCAAATATGATACTATGTTGTATCAGTTGGCTTAATTCAAATATCTGTAAAATACTTTAATTTTTGGATAGTAGTAAGTTTGGATCGATTGGGTATTTAGAACCCATAAAATCTGGAATATTCGAAAATCTGAAAATATATAAACCCTAATAAAATATCCAAAATCCAAATAATTTCCAAAAATATTTAAATAACCTAAAAGATCCCTAATTTTACTCGAAATCTGATCATATGAACAGAAAACACCTAACGATTTATCCGAATATTTGAAATATATTTTTAAATTTTTTAAATTTTACTTCTAATTCGAAATAATAACGAAAAATCCGAACATGAAATTTAAAAGAATATATGTAATACCAAAAACATATATGAAATATCCAAATATATTTAATACACAAAATCTTTCAAGTACTTGAGTATCCCGATCAGATTCAGGTAGGATTTTGATATGAACCGAGATCCACAGGTCAAGAAAAAACAATCCAACAGATATTGGACCAAGACCAAACCAAATCTAATATACTTTTGACTGATTTTCTTAGATCTGGATAAAATGTTCAACTCTAGAAAAAGCATTACATACGGATGTATATATAAAATCTCAAATAAGTTCATTCATAAATTATATAATTTTAAACAAATTCTCTATTCCACTTTGTAACATAATAATGCATTATCTAAAATACTAATCTATATCAAATTTTATTTATAATCTAAGCAACTTTACGTTTTGAAATCACAAACCAAAATCTATTACTCAAATGTTATATTCGAAACATTAGACATGTGTGCTCTGATTTCGTCAAGAGTTAGAGCACCATTAACCCAAAAAACCAAAAGGGTTGCTTAAACTTTTTTTTTTCTGATTACAAAAAAAAAAAAAAAAAATTAAAAAAAATTGACCAATCGCGGGCCGCCACGTGTCAGTGGGGCCCGCGATTTTCTAAGCAACAGACCAAATCCGTGGCTTATTCAAGAGCTATTGGCAGCGTTGTTTGTTTTTCTGCTGGACCCCACTAATTATTATATAATTTTTTCTTAAGCCACCTCCCCCTAAGCCACGGGGTTAAAGGTGCTCTTACAAGTCCTACAAAGCAATAATACAGGTGTCAACCCTCACGCGTTTAAACATACATATCCAACGGTCCAGATTCCATCATTTTCTTCTCGCGTTTAATCCTACAGAAACCGTTCTCCGATCCGATACACCTCCCCTCCTCCGCCTCTACATCCACCGTTCGAATCCGTCACAATGGCCACCCCGTCGCGCGAGGACCTCGTGTACATGGCTAAGCTCTCCGAGCAAGCGGAGAGGTACGAAGAGATGGTGGAATTCATGGAGAAACTCTCCGCCGCAACAGACGGCAACGAACTCACGATCGAGGAGCGAAACCTCCTCTCCGTCGCGTACAAGAACGTGATCGGCGCTCGCCGCGCCTCGTGGCGGATCATCTCCTCGATCGAGCAGAAAGAAGAGAGCCGCGGCAACGTCGAGCGCGTCAAATCGATCCGTGACTACAAGGCGAAGATCGAGTCGGAGCTCTCCGGGATCTGCGACGGGATCCTGAAGCTGTTGGAGTCTACGCTCGTACCTTCCGCTGCTTCTGAGGAGTCTAAGGTTTTCTACGAAAAGATGAGAGGTGATTACTATAGGTACTTGGCTGAGTTCAAAATCGGTAGAGAGAGAGATGATGCGGCGGAGAAGACACTCTCTGCTTACGAATCTGCTCAGGTTTTGACCTAGATTAGGTTTCTGGTTTTGGATTGGGCCTTAGATTGGTTTCTGGATCTGGAGAATTAGGTTTAGATTTGTTAATCATTGTGTAGATTGTTGATGGAGATGTGTGTTTGCACTTGCTTGTGTTGAATGTTGATTTTTGTTTGTGCAGGAGAATGCTAAGGGGCTTGCTTCAACTCATCCTATACGTCTTGGATTAGCATTGAACTTCTCTGTGTTTTATTATGAGATTCTTGAGTCTCCTGATCGTGCCTGCAGCCTCGCTAAAACGGTAAAAACTAATTAATCTTTGATACCTCCATTAGTATATATCTTGAAGATACATATCTTTCCCTTAGTGGCAGTATATCTTTATGTATACTCTGTGTTGTACTTTCTTTTCAACACGCAAGGAAGTAGGTGTTGTTTTTGTCTCTCTGTGTGTGTATAACAAGGCTTTTGATGCTGCTATTGTTGAGTTAGATACACTAGATGATAGGCAATTAATGTGGATAGGACTAGATTTACGTTTGAATTAATGGCAGTGTATCTTTATGTATCTTTGCTTCTGTTTATGTGTTGTACTTCGTTTTCAACACTTTGGTGGCGAGAAAGTTAAGTGTTGTTTTTGTATCCCTATGTGTGTGTATATAAACAGGCTTTTGATGCGGCAATTGCGGAGTTAGACACACTAGGGGAAGAGTCATACAAGGATAGCACTTTGATCATGCAGCTTCTTCGTGACAACCTCACTCTCTGGACATCCGACATGCAGGTTTTGTTGATTCTCTCTCTCTCTCTCTCTTTACACACTAAACAGCTGTTTTTTTTATATATCATCATATGTGTTTCGTTTGTGTGGATCAGGATGAATCTGCAGATGAGATCAAGGAAGCAGCAGCACCGAAGCCAACAGAAGAGCAGAAATGATGAGTCTTGGTGTGAATTGGTACTAGCTAGTGTTAGGGATTGAAACCATCTTCTTCGTCAATAATATTGTGTCTTGTCAAAGAGATGGCTGTCTCAGTTTCTTCCTGTTTGAAAGTACATTATTACTCTCATATCTCGATTTGCTTTACCCTTTTGGATCGATGTTTATCATTTTCTGAGTGAAAAGAGAAAATAATCTAAAGTTGATTGATTAAACCTCTTATGATTTCAATGATCTTAAACTCAGGTTTTGCCTGGTAATTTCATATTTAGAACAGAAGATAAGAAGCACGACATAAGATAAGAAGCAAATGCGATTACTATTTTATATAGAACAATGAAAGATCACGACAACAGAAACGAAGACAAATGCAAACAAAAGAAGCAAAAGTTACAGAAACTTCTCTCCTTTCTTGAAAACAAACAACAACTAAACATGAAAGAAAAAAAAACTAGAAGAGGGGTTGAGATTATTCAGCAAACTCGGCGAGAATAGACAGAGCACTGGTAAATTCGCTTGGAGTTTATCATGAGGATGATGTAACTTTTGGATAACTATTAATCCAGTTCCCATGATGGTAGTACACTTCCAGAAGCTGTTAGTTGAAGATATTGCTCCATTTCTTCATAGGTATAATTTGACAAACTACCATACTCCGGAACAGTAGTCCCTTGCTGTAGACCGTTCTGAGGATTAGGCCAACCTAGTTCACTCTCATTTGGTAAACTCGTTGTATATTCTAGTAAACCATCTCTCCCTTGTTGATCCTCGGGATGATTCGCCCCTGCCGGTGCAACCGGTGGTGGATCAGCGTTACCCGATGACACAATGTTCTGATAATTAACCCATTCTTCTTGACTCCCAGACGGAAAATTCGCCGGTAGTAGTCCGTTACCCGATGGCAGATTGTTCTGAGAAGTCGCTGGAGGTGGGACACTACTGGATCCTAAACCGTTCTGTAAATTGGACCAAGTTGTTAAATTATCAAATGGTAACGTTTGCATGAACAAAAAAAAAACAAAAACAAAATTAAAAAAAAAAAAAAAAAAACTGCATGAACCTGTGGTGCAACGTCCTCGAATAGAGAACTAAGGCTATGTTCCCACGTTGGCGTCATGAAACCATTCTGAGGAACGGCCACGTCACTGGTTCCAGCTACAGACGACGCAGGGAAATAATAATGATCATCGTCTTCGTTCAGAAGCCTTTCAAAGGACTGCATACGTGCAGCCAGCCTAGGTTCCATCGACCCTTGATCTTGAGGAGGAGGAGGAGGAGGAGGAGGAGGAGAAGAAGGTGGTAACGTCAGCAACCTTGCTGAAACCAACGGTGCCGATGTTGGACCCCATACAGATGTCGGAACCGAAAGTGGTGCTTGAGTCGACAACGGTGGTAAAGGAGGCCGAGAGGAAGACGCCTGAGCGTTGGATGGTCCAGCCGCTGAGGAAGACGCCTGAGCGTTGGATGGTCCAGCCGCTGAGGAAGACGGTGGGAATGGATTCGCAAAGGACCGTGAAGTCGCCGATGACATCCATTGACTTCCCCGGAACCGATTACGCGGAGGAGGAAGAGGAGCGCCATATAGCCTGCTTGCTCGATGATTGCTAACGTGAGCCTGTGACAAAGTGTCAATATGCATCGATCGTTATATACAGAATAGAGAATATATGCAAATAAATATACGAAGATCGATCGTGATAACCTGAGCCTGAACACGGAGACTGGTCTGACCAGATGAGCTTGGAAGAATGCACGTGAGACTACGAACCAGAAGCTTGTAGTCAGCTATGGTAGAAGTAAAGATCAATGGAGCAGGCTTAATATTGTTAATCATCTTGACTCGTTTTGCAGGAGGAAAGCTTGATGAACCCCTGTTTTCCCCATTCGACATTTTTCTTTAACTTTTTCTTTTTTGATATATTTAGTTTTTTTTTTTTAGTGTGTATAGTTTCATGAAACATCAGAGATTTATATAGGCATAATGTTTTTATGTTGGCTCATGTTATATTTTGATTTCCAAAAATATTGAGATGTACTTTTAAGCTAAGTAACTAATTAAATTATGTCTTTCACTTTGACTTACAAAATCTTCTGAATTTTGACTAATAATTATTAACCCGCGGAATTTTAAATGCCAAAATTATTATTATGAGATGCTATTAATTATTTTTTTGAGTTCAAACCCTTTGAGTGAATTGTTTGGCATATTGTCATTAAACAATGGATCACCTGTTTAATATTAAAGTTTGACTATTTTCCAGTTCAAATCAAATAATTACTCATTGTTGAAAAATTGGTACGTTACAAAACAAGTGTCATTTTTTTTGTTTTTCAATACAAAAATTATTAATTTGGCTCTGTAATTTATTTTTCTATTGGTTGAAATATAGATAAATGTATAAATAATTTTATTTTTATATAAAAAAATATAAAATTAGTTATTTCTTTAATCTGTGTGCATAAATTAAAATTGACACTTAAAATGAAACATATGGAGTATTGTTTTGGCATATTTAAAGTTCAACATTTCCTTTATACATATGAAAATTGATTACTTGTTTGATATCAATGTAAACTCACGGCTCTTGAGATCTTTAGAAATAATTTATACATTCACAGTTAGAAATATTGTAAAACATTTTTAACAATGTCCATGTATATTGTAATTTTTAGAATATAAGATAAAATTTCTTGCATATATACACCATTTCATGAATGTTATAGTAGGATCGTACATTTTATTTTTGGTTTTACGGTAGTAAGTTTTTTTTGTATGACAGTAGTAGGTTAATGATCTAAGCAGTAGCGGAGCTACTTTATTTTGGGTAGGAGCTTGTTCGTTGTTTTGAAATCTAAACCGGACAATCCAAATTATCCAATTCTCTTGGATCATTACCGGTTAATTGCATGGGCTTTTGGCGTTGTGCATTAGTCAAAGAGAAGAAGAGAAAACTGAACGTGGATCTTAGAGCACCTTTAATGGAGGTTGTTTAGAGGGTTGCTTAGGAAGAGAAGGTGGCTTATTTTGAAGAGAGAGAGTGTGAAAAGTGTTTAATTAAGCACTTTTTACACTATCTCTCTTCAAAATAAGCCACCTTCTCTTCCTAAGCAACCCTCTAAACAACCTCCATTAAAGGTGCTCTTATAATTCGGATATAGAAAATATTCATCAAATACTCGTCCAAAAGGGAAGGCTGAAATATTGACTATAAAATCGACACATAGCATTTTCTTTAATTGCATTCTCAAATAAATAAATAGGAAATCTATATAGTAAACGAGAATCTAAAGTTGATAAGAACGTAATAAATAATTTTGTGCCAAATCGGGCAATATAATTCTACTTTATCAGCTCAGTCAAAAATCTAATAATATGTATGTGAATTAACTTCATGATAATTCAACATGTGGCAATTTGCTTCCAGAACAAGTAACTGAGGAGCATCGTTTCATGACTGCTAACATAGGCAAAGTGTTTTCAAGTTCTTTCCGCATATTTGACCTAATTAATTTAACATGTGGCAACATTGGAAGTAACGAATTGTGACATACCAAATTTTTATTAAGGTTCCGGACATTTGTTATTTTTTTTCAAAAGTGGATCATAGTAGATAGACATGTCACATACTGGGTCTAATGTTAGGACAAAACACTGCAGTTAAGTTATATTTTTTCCGGCTAAGAATGTAAATAAAAATAATTATTAGACATGGGCATTCGGATATTCGATTTGATTCCGGGTATATGAGATAAATCATTTTTATACCCAATAGATAATTATGAGATTTCAGTTTGGTTCGGTTCAGTTTCAGTTGGGTTCCGGATACCCGTTTAATATATAAATTAAATATATATACATAATATATTAGTTAATATGTTAATTTAAGTGGTCTAGTGTTTACACGATTACATATTCGTCAATCCAATAAGAGTTCAAAGAAATAAAGTATTAATTTTATAAATAGTGATTGTATTTTAATATAAAAATATTATATATATTTATAATATAAGAAAAGAAATAAAACTTAATATGGTACGGTGGTAAAAATGTACTTACTCTTTGTATACAACATGAGTTCAACTGGGTTTGATGTTATTTTATCTTATATTAAATAATTTTAACTTCTTTTTTCTGATATTCGGATACCCGTTCCATTCTCGGTTCGGTTCCGATTCAATTTTTCGGATATAGAAATATAGGAACCATTCGGATATTTAAGAATTTCAGTCCGGTTTCGGTTTCGTGTATTTCGGTTCGGTTCCGGTTTGGTTTTTGAAGATGATAAAAATAAAGACTTGGACCAAAGTTGCTTTTCCAAGCAAGTGATATGTACAAGCGCCCCCCCCCCCCCCCCCCCAAAAAAAAAAGAAAAACTTGTAGAAATAAAGTAGACTAATCAAAGTTTTGATGACCTAAGGTTAATGCTAACGTGGTAATAGTGTGAGAAACAGAACATTTAACCACCGAATTTATAAGCTATATCTAATCTCCGATAACCTGCAAACAGAAAGAGGATCTAACGGAGGCCAGCCGGAGAAAGCCGAGGGGAGCATCACGTACAACCAGTGGAGGAGGGGAGACCAAGACCAATGAGTCAATGACGACAAGGCCAGCTCCGGAGGAGGCCCTGCCGAAGACCTTGAGTTACAGAAGTCTTATTATAGAGTTTAAGTTGAGCCACTTCAATCATACAAAATTACTAAGTTATTATTAAGATTGAATGCACTTATAAGTTGTATTTTAAAAAAAAAATCCTTTGAGTCAAGCTAAGGTAATAACAAAGTTTTTGATCAATCTTTAAATTATCCTGATGTTGTGGTGAATCAGTAATCGGTTTGCTAGTCGAGGATTACGTGAACATGCCCATTATCCAAAGATGTCACAATCTGATTACATGGGTTTCTACCAGAGTGGGTCCTCAGGTTTTGAAAACTATGTATATTTACAGATATTTATTCTATAAATGATTTTTTTTAAACATACAGTAGTTTAATAGTATGCATATTTATCTATAAATCATAATAATATAAAATTTATCAATAATAGTTTTTTATCATTTTCATAAATCCAAAGTTTTTCTTTTCCTTCTGACAGCAGAAACCAAAATTTTTTATTCATTATTATTTGCAATCAACAGTTTCATCCCCAAAATATAATATATATATAAAATAGGGCCAATGAAATTTTTGAGAAGAATCTCCACAATTCAAAATATTGTATAAATGAAACATCAAAGTTTGCAAATACAGACTTTACAAAGGATTTTCTATTATTTCAAAATATTTCATACACATCCCAAATATCATAGCTTAATTGTAAGTACGAGTTTTTTCCTACATCTATGTTGCGAGTTCGAATTCTACTGGAATGACTCATAATATCTCTAAATATCACACAAATATAGACTTATGATTTAGAACCCATTTGTATACCCACATAAATATCACATATACATTTAGAAAAACTTAAGTAAATATTCATAAAAGGTAGAATCAATAAATTTAGTTACACGTTAATGAAGACATTCTTGAGTTCAGAAAAACACTTATAAAAATTCTTTTTTTGAATACAGATTTTCTATTTTATTAATTTGTGAATTTTCAAAATTTTATATTTATTTGTGTTTGTATATTAAATACTAATTATGTAAGATTTTAATAAGGATATTTTTGTTTTTAATCCATTAATAAATGTTAGTTTCAGTCACTTTCGGGACTGTTGTCTTTAGGGGTTATTTAGAGATTTGCCCTTTCTAAAACTTGAAAAATCATTTATTAAAAGTTAATTACATTTGATGAAAGATTTTAATTGAGAGACTCCTAATAATACCACCATGATGTTGAAATAATTTGTTTGTTGATCTTAGTGGAACAGAATCAAGATTAATAAAACGTGTCTTTTTAAGAAAACATTTCTTGCTTTTATTCCACCAACCACCTGCTCGAGATATGTTTTCCATTGCTTTTAACGCTCTCTTTATTTTCTCTCATCTACTCCATCATTGTTCAGTATCATCATCACAATCCATCATCAATCATGGACAGGACATCGTTCTCAAGCTGCAACAAAGGAAAGCCGATTAGATGCAAAGCAGCAATATGTAGAAAAGCAGGAGAAGCATTGGTGATAGAAGAGATCCAAGTTGATCCACCTCAACCTTACGAAGTTCGTATTAAAATCATATGTACATCTCTATGTCACACGGATATCAATTACTGGAAATTAAACAATGTAAGTTTTATAATATCATTTACATTTAAAACTAAGTCAACGCCGTATATCTATCCTCAGTAACTTTTCTTCCAGGATCCTCGTGCAAAGTTTCCTAAGATTCTAGGACACGAAGCAGTCGGGTGAATAAACATTTCTTTAAATCTCACTCTTGTACAATTTGGGTAATAATTTGTTTGTTTTTAATCTAGTGTGGTTGAGAGCATAGGAGAACATGTAGACGGGTTCAAGCAAGGCGACATTGTTTTGCCAGTGTTTTACCCTAACTGCGAGGAATGTAAAGATTGTAAATCCCCAAAGAGCAACTGGTGCTCGAGATTTTGCGACGATTTCTTGTCAAACACGAGAAGATATGGAACAAACTCTAGATTCAAAGACTCCTCCGGTGAAGTTATCCACCACCATATCTACGTATCTAGTTTCTCTGAATATACCGTTGTAGATATCGCCCATCTCGTCAAAATCTCACCTGAGATCCCCGTACACAAAGCGGCTTTGCTCAGCTGTTGCGTATCCACAGGTTAATTTACCTTCATTTTTTTTTGTTATTATCTCACTTTACATGATCGTTATGTTATCTACCTAGGTCCTCTAGTTCGATTTCTTGTTAGAAAAAAAGGTTATGTGACGAAAATATGTATGTGTTTGATCCAAAACATCTTATTAAAATAGAAACAAAAGAAACAAAATAATGTTGTAAACAGGAGTTGGAGCGGCTTGGAAAGTGGCTGGTGTGGAGGAGGGTTCCACCGTTGCCATTTTTGGCCTTGGTGCTGTTGGACTTGCGGTACCTAGTTTTTTTTTCTTCTTCTGGATAATAAATAGAGAGTATTATTCACTTTCACAATTAACAACAATTTTGTTACAAAAACAATTTGATTCAGACAAACAGAATTTCCAAACAATATAACTATATTTGCTAGATGATTTAGAAGATAAAAATGATTTGGCAAACAGGTTGCAGAGGGAGCCAGGCTGTTTGGGGCCGGAAAGATCATCGGTGTGGATCTCAATCCTGACAAGTTTGAAATAGGTTTGGTTTATTTACTACTTATAATTTTATAGGGTCTCTTTTAGTTTTCTTCTATAAAATGTTTTTTTTTTCTATAAAATCTTGATAACACTAGTGAAAACTGAAATAGTCCATGCAGGGCCGGCTCTGAGAACTATGTAGCCTAAGGCGATTTCTTAACGATTTCATCTAAAATATTTTTTTAACGGATTTGGGGGCTTAAAAAATTTTTTTGGGGGTCTATATACAAGTAACTTTTTCAAAAATTATTGAGGGCTAAAGCCAATGTTTCATCCGGCTTTGCCCAACGCCGGTCATGAGTCCATGCGTGCTGTTAGTGTTAAAACATAATATACAATGTATTACATGTTGTGGTTTCACGAGCGTTATATTTTCTTTAAAAAGCTACAAGTATGATGTCGAGTAGGTAAAAGATTCGGCATCACGGACTTCGTCAACACGGCTTCATGTGGCGAGAAGACAATTAGCCAAGTCTGTTGATCCACAGAACCTTTTTATTTATATATAAAGTTTGTAAATCCTTAGTTTAAAACGTGCAGACAGATTCTTCTTAAAAAAACATTGTTGTTGTTGTTGTTGTTGTTGTGAAAAAGGTGATCACAGAAATGACAGGAGGAGGAGTTGATTACAGTTTTGAATGCGTTGGTTTAGCTTCGTTGATGGAGGAGGCTTTTAATAGCACCCGCACGGTAAGTATTTTTTTTTACCGGTTTTCTATTTGGTCTAACTGCATTCTATGGATAATTGATTTCTAGGGATCGGGGAAGACGGTAATATTGGGGATGGAGAAGAACGCTTCGCCGATAAGCTTAAGTAGTCGCGCTATTATGAGAGGTAGAAGTATCCACGGAAGTTTGTTTGGTGGTCTAAAACCCAAACTTGATATCCCCATTTTGGTCGATCGTTATTTAAAAAAGGTACTAGATTTTGACCGTTTTCAAAACACCGAATTAAATTTTATTTATAGAAAATTAGAGATTTAAAAATTTGTGTAGGAAATGAACAAATAATTAGTTAAGGTATGAAGTGTTGTAGTGAATAAGTTTAGATATTAAAAGATTAAAAAAATGTAGTTGGAGTATTTTTATAAAATTTTCCATTTCTTTTTATGTATACTAGGTATCTATCAACTGTAAATACGTATATATGTGTATATTGCGTATTCGATCGAGTACACTACGTACTTGTGCTGTACAAGACAGAAAACAAAGTGGGTTTGGCCACAATCACTTTAGTTAAGCATAATATCATCTTAATTATAGTTATGAATTATGAATTTATGATCCACTCATGATTGGTTTATAATGTTACCAATTGAAATCAAATTTTTATTTTCTTATAACATCTTATCCAAGTCAGTGAAAGTATGTGTTTTGTTCTTTTCTTATTTTAAAATATTTAACCATATTCATAAATTGAAATCTGATTGTTCAATCTTCTTAGATAGATGACATAGATATAGCGGTGATCTTTCGTGCAGTCATGATCTTGGTAATGGCATACTACGAGTCCGAATGGACAACTGCGAAAAACTGTGGTACAATTCAAATAATAATAAAAATATATAAATACATAAATATTATAGAGATATTTATTATTATATATGACTAGGAAACCACCCCCGCGCGTAAACGCGCGGGAGGAGGATGTTTAATTTTTTCTTGTTTTATTTTCTTTAGTAACATTGGTTTCTTCATCACTTGAATCATTATATAATTGTTCCTCCATATGGGAAAAGTATGGTTTTTCAAATTAAAGAGATGTGTTGTTTGAAAAAAAATAACTGTTCATAGCAAAAGTATCTTAAGTCTAAAAAAAAACATTTCTGTTCAAATATGAAAAAGTATGATTTTTTCATGTACAACAAATTGTTGTTTCAAATAAATAAATACTCAAGGAAAAAGTATTTTATGTCATACACATGTTTTAGGACCATATGTCTAAAAATATTTATTATGACCATTACATGAAAAACAAAACAATTGTTGAAACATTGTATCTTTTCAAAAAAAAATGTATTATTTTTAAAATTTCATCTTTCATTATAAAAAAGTATGTGTTTCAGAAAAATAGTTTAAAAGTAGTTAAAATAAGTTATAAGAGTTGTGTATTTTCATAATAAAAATATATTAATACTAAAAAAAATCCACAATTATTATTTAAACTTGTGTCTTTTCATAAAATTGTGAATAATATTAGTTTTAAAGTTATGCTTTTAAATTATTAAAAAGTATATCTTTTCATAAAAAATTGAACTTTGTTAGTCTCAAGAGTTATGTTTCTTATTCTTTTCATAAAAAATGAACTCCTTTGGTTTTAAGAATTGTATCTTTTCATAAAAAAAAAATATATATATTAGTTTAAGAAGTTGTTTTTTTTTCATTACAAAAAAAGTTGTGTCTACTCAAAAAAAAAAAAGATTAATAATAAAAAGACCCAGTTAATATTTAAACTTGTATTTTCTCATAAAAACAAAATTATATTAGTTTAAAGTTGTGTTTTTACATTATTAAAAAGTATGTCTTTTCATTAAAAAAATTGAAATCTATTAGTTTCAAAAGTTGTGTTTCTTCACCATTAATAAATTTATGGCTTTTCATAAAAGAGCTCAACACTATTAGTTTGAAGAGTTGTATCTTTTGATAAAAAAACTAAAAATATTATATCTAGATTAGTTTTAAAGTTGTATCTTTTCATTATAAAAAAGTTGTGTATTTTCCAAAAAAGACCTCAGTTATTTTTAAAAGTTGCGTCTTTTCATGATAAAAAATAATTTGTGTTTCAAAAAAATAGTTTAAAAAGTAGTTAAAATAAGTTATAAGAATGGTGTCTTCTCATAATAAAAAGTAGATTAATTATAACAACCCAAACTAATATTTAAACTTGTGAAAAAACTATGATTGTGACTCTTAAAAAGCTACATGCTTTGAAATAGATATCTCTTGAAAGAAGAATTGCCAAAAAATTGATGACATCAACACTCATTCTAAAGAGTTTTTTTGTCCATTAGATAATAAAATCAAGTAAATTATGACTATTGTATTCGCACGAGAACTCATTTATAAAATCAAATAATTTATAATAATAACTTTTGTAAAGAACTTTACAATTTCTTTTGTGGTTTACTATTTTCACATTGGAAAAAATTAGTATTTTAAGTATTTTCTTTATGTACTATGTTTCGTGAAAAATAATATAAAAATTTAGAAATTGTTGTAATTGTATATTAACTTATGTTGACGTGGCCCATTTTATTTATATTAATACCTTAATTTTATGAAATTCTTATAAGAATATAATAATTGCATCTTTTAAAGAGTAATATTTTGAAGTTGATCTGGTATTGAGATATAAAGACTTTAAAACTTAAATGTTTCTCCATCAAATTTTCCAAGCCTATTCTATGATAATATATTAATAACAAATAGAGTTTTTTTGTGTTTATATATATGTATTTCTTCGAAGACTTTTTTATGATCTTTTAATAAAGAATTTCTCTTTTTTCTAGTCTATTTATGATTGTTATGGTTTTTAATTGTGATTTGTTAATGTTCAGTTCTTTATATAAAGAAATAAGGATTGCAATGGTTGATAACCAAACATTGAAATGCTTAGCTAAAGGGTTAGTTGTAATAGTTTATCCCTAAAAAAAAATAATCACTAACAATTGCAATTATTCATCAGAAAAGATTGTAATGGTCATCACTAAAAATTGTAATCACCACAACAATTGAAATGTTTCATTTAATCAGTAGTCCTTTTCACCAAACAATTACAAAATCACTTAGGCGATTGCAGATATTCACTTTAATCCTTAATAATTCACTGCTGTTTGAGTGTGATTAAACTCATGTATAAAATAAAACATTTTAGCCTATCCAATTTTTATGATGAAGAACCACATGTTTATACCTTTGACAACATATTTTATACCCATGAAATGATCAAAATGACACATTTATAGACGTTTTGAAAATTCTTTTAAATCAGTGCGATTTTCAGGATAAGATGACTTATTTTAAAGATAAACATATGCACCATTTTAACAATTTATTTAAACCAATGGAAGAT